CAGGTCCATTGGGATATGAACCGGCATTCATATGGAATCCCGGAGCGTGCAAGGCCAGGACTTTAGCTGCTAGCTACTGCATAGGGCCCAGATAAAATTTCTAAATGATGAAATAGACACATGAAAAAATGCTCAGGTTCTCTAGCAATTAGGGAAATGCAGATAATTTTGGGATCTTAAAGTATAATTTACTATTTTGATAAATAATAGACCATCATGGGTTGTTTCATGTTGTTCACTTGGCTCTTTCTGAGGTCAAGTGTCTTAAAACAGATGTTACTATTTCCTTTTGTAATTAAAGATATGAATTTTATTGTGACACTTGGATACTTTATTTTCCCTGATAGGAAGTAGGGTTTATATTCCATTGTGTTCCTGTTAGACCCTGTACATAAAATCATAAAATGAACTCTGCAAAGATTCATTTTATTTTTTTATTGGAAAGTCAAAATATACAGAGAGGAAGATCTTCCGTCCGTTAATTCACTCCCTGAGTGACCACAACGGTGGAGCTTCACCAGTCCGAAGCCAGGAGCCAGGAGTCTTTTCTGGTCTCCCATGCGGGTGCAGCGTCCCAAGGTTTTGGACCAAAGGATTTTTTTTTTAACTCTAACTTTCCAGATTAGACACAGAGATGATATTCTTAATTCAGAAAGAAAAATCTTTATCATTTGTTATCATTTTGATCCCCATACTGCTGTGACCATCAGAGCCAGTAATGTGGACAGGGAGAAGGTCTGGGGATGAAGCACTGACAGGAGACCAGTGATGGAGGAAGTCTCTGTGAAGTCTCCCTTTATTGCTCCTTCACCTCTCCTTATATACTCCCCCCATCCTCATTTAGCAGGATATTGGATACAGCTAGTCCAATTAGTCGAGGTGTTTTTAGCCACAAGCCCCGTTCCTGTTCCTGTTCCTGCCCAGGCTAACAAGCACTAATCAACTCCTTAGCCCACAACAGGTACCTCCACATATATAAGAAGGTGTAATATTACATTTTTTAAAAAGATTTATTCATTTTTATTACAAAGTCAGATATACAGAAAGGAGAGGAAAATCTTTCGTGCAATGATTCACTCCCCAAGTGAGCGCAACTGCTGGTGCTGCGCCGATCCGAAGCCAGGAGCCAGGAATTCTTCCGGGTCTCCCACGTGGGTGCAGGGTCCCAAAGCTTTGGGCTGTCCTTGACTGCTTTCCCAGGCCACAAGCAGAGAGCTGGATGGGAAGTGGAGCTGCTGGGATAAGAACCGGCACCCATATGGGATCCTGGTGCATTCAAGGCGAGGACTTTAGCTGCTAGGCCACATCGTCAGGCCCATAATATTACATTTTACCTTAAAAGGTGGTTTGTACCTAAAAAGGTACATTTAAAAAGTAAGGCTTGGGCCTGGCACGATGGCGCAGTGGTTAAGGTCCTCGCCTTGCACGCCCGGTTTCCCATATGGGCACCAGTTCTAATCCCGGCGGCCCCACTTCCCATCCAGTTCCCTGCCTGTGGCCCGGGAAAGCAGTCAAGGACATCCCAAAGCTTTGGGACCCTGCACCCACGTGGGAGACCCGGAAGAGGCTCCTGACTTCGGATCAGCATAGCATCGGCCGTTGCACTCACTTGGGGAGTGAATCATCGGACGGAAGATCTTCCTCTCTGTCTCTCCTCCCTGTATATCCGCCTTTCCAATAAAAAATAAAACAAATCTTTAAAAAAAAAAAAAAGTAAGGCTTAAGCTAAAAACTAGTATTTTTTATGTCAAAATCCCTCAACTGCAGCATGATTATGGGCTAAATTACTGCTCTGAAAGAATCTGTATTATATTTGTAAAGTTTCCACAGGTTTCAGGCGTTAGGCTTAGGCCAAACAAAGGTAATGCAAAGGGGCATTTCTGCCTTCTGGAAGCATCTGCTCTGCCATAGATAGCAGTGAACATCACAGGCGTCCCAAGATCGACACGGGGCAGAAGGGACACAGACGGAAGATGATGCTGTGTCCGGGGTTGGCGAAATTGCTTTGGCTGGAAAATGTACGTGAATGTCAAGCAAGGAGAGTAGAGAAGAATGTCTGAAAAATGGACTATGCAACTTCAACAGAGATAAGATTTTAGGGCGAGATACCTATAATTCATCATGACCCAGGCATGGTTGTTCAAAATGTGCTTTTCAGCCCCAGTGACCTAGATTCTCAGTTTCTTGGTTTTAAAAGCTGGAATTTTAGATATTGCCAATGCAAATTAACTTGGCATTTCCTCCTTGCTTTATCAGAATGATGGGGGAATCTGACGGAAACTTCTTGTTGGGTGTGCCTTTGGAGCAGCAGCTAAGGTGCTCGGGGCACCTGTCTGGAGTTGAGTGGCAGTGCCCGCTCCTGCTGCCAGCTGCCTGCCAGTGTGTGCCCTTGGCGTGGCAGGCATTGGCGCATGGAGTGGGTCTGCACTGCCCCGTGCGAGATGCAGCGGGGCCCAGTCCAGAGCATTGCGCGTGTCTGCGGAGTGAGATGGTGCGTGGGCTTGTCATCATGCTAGCTGCGCTCGGCCTCTCTGATAAAACAAACGCATGATTAAAATGTATTGCTGTCAGATCAGTCATACGCGGATAGCTCCCTCCTTTCCCAGAAAGTACAAATGGAATAATACTGAAAAACACTATTATCCACTCAATCGCCTCCTGAGAGATCCTGCTATGATTATTGAGTCCTTGTGAGACTGCCACGCGGCTGAGCGCCGCATAGAGGAAAGATGATGACTTCTGCCCTAAGTGTTAGAGAGTGGAATGGGCCACGTTTACACACAGCAGGTGCTCCAGCCAGCACATTTGCTATCCCTTTTGTTTTCTTGTAAGATTTATTTATTTTTATTGAAAAGGTAAATTTACAGAGAGGAGAGAGGAAGAGCTTCCATCTGCTGGTTCACTCCCCAGGTGGCCACAACAGCTGGAGCCGAGCTAATCTGAAGACAGGAACTTCCTCTGGGTCTCCCACAAGGGTACAAAGTCCCAAGGCTCTGGACCATCCTCCACTGCTTTCCTGGACCACAGAGAGGGAGCTGAAAATGAGCATCCAGGACATGAACCCATATGAGATCCTGGTGCATGCAAGGCAAGGACTTTAGCCACTAGGCTACTGCACTGGGTCCACTCCCCCCCCCCTTTTTTTTTAATAAAGTAACTTCATGCTTTTTAGTGATCACCATGATGTGAGTAATGGGGACTTTGAATCTTTGTGTCACCCAGTGGAAAGACTAGCAACCCAGTTCCGCATTGTGCCTGTCACTCGTTAGCTGTCTGATCGTGGAAAGATTTTATACTGAAAATTTAGTGTTTTTTTTTTTTAACTTAAAAGAAAAGAGAAATTACTTTCTCTGATTGGAAGGTGAGCTTTCTCTTCAGTGGTGTTTCCTGAGCTCAGGCAGGAACCTGTGCTTATTTCTTTGTCCCTTTATTCGGTGCAGGTGCTGGGACCTCAGTGGAGAGAGCGTTCCTCACCACCCAGCGTGGGTGTAGCGCTCAGTCCTATAACCAGCTTCAGGCCTGGCGCATGCGCTCAGCCGGTCATTATCTAAATATGCTCTTGGTTTTTAGACAATACTAACGATTTAAAATCATTTTCACTTTATTTGGAAGACAGAATTACAGAGAGATAGAGCGTCAGAGAGAAAGACAACTCTTCCATCCACTCTTCCGCTCTCTGAACGGCTGCAACAGCTGCGGCTGGGCCAGGTGGAAACTAGAAGCCTAAAACTCCATCCGGGGCTCCCATGGTGGTGATGGGGCTGAAGCACTTGGACCATCTTCCGGTCCTTTCCCAGGCACATCAGCAGGAAGCCGGATCAGCAATGGTGAAACCAGAACTCCAGGCGGCACTCCGGACGGGCTGTCGGCAGCCCAAGCGTTGGCTTTAACCATTGTGCCACAACACCTGGCCCGAAGGCCTTCCCTTAAATTCAGATTCCTGGGGCTCTCCTCCGAGATGCCCGCTGCAGCTGGGCTTGGGCTCATGATCCTGTGGCTTGGCAAGGTCCCAGATGCTGCTTCTGTCCTCTGTCTTCCAGATGCCCAGCGAGATGGTGTAAGGTGCCTCCTTCCAGACAGCACATGGATGTAATGTGTTTAAACAAGTGCAGTTAGGCTGTTGCAACAGCTGACAAGGCTAAACTTTTAAAATAGTTATTTTAGGTATAACTGGCATCTAAACCCCACGTCCTTAGAGTGCACGCCTCGATGTGTCTGAGGTGTGTGCGCCCATGCAGCCGTCACACCCGCCACCTGCACAAGTTTCCTCGTGTGCTTTTCCCACCCCTCCTCCCTCCTTAGCCATTTGCCTGATTGATGTCACTGTAGATTAGTTCATGTTGTCTAGAGATCTGTACAGGTTCTGCATCAATGCACTCAACCAACCACAAATCAAAAAACCCTGAAAAAGAAAAATTCCAGCAAGTTTCAAAGGGTCTAACCTGTTAGAACTGGCACAGTCGCATTTCTGTGACACAGCCGGGCCAGCGTCCCCACTGGAGCTCTGGTTCCAGTTCTGCCTCCTCTGCTTCAGCTCCTGCTGACGTGCCTGGGAAGGCATGGCTGACGATCCCAGTGCTTGGGTCTCAGCCACCCCAGTTGGGGTGTGCAGCACAGCCTGGTTTGCTGTGGCCGTGCAGGGAGTAAATCGGCAAATGGAAGATCTCTCTTTCTGTCATTCTACCTTGAAAGGTAACAGGTAAAAAAATAAATAAATAAAATTAAGGAAGTAAATTAAAAAAAAATTTTTTTTTTTAAAAACTGTTCATGTGGCTACATGCTGAGCACACCACGGAGTCTGCGCCTTCCAGGAACGTTAGCAGGGAGCTGGCACATCAGACCTTGTCTTAGGCCAGAGCTTGCACAGGCATTCCTGGAGAGGGTCTGAGTGTGCCAGGCTGCGCTTTACGCCATTGTACCGCAACACCCACCCCAGATTTGCATTCCTAAGATTTTTGCATCACGGAGGATGCTTTGTTTTTCTTTTCTTTCTAATACAGAAGGTCATTGGATGGTACAGATTTCGGCGAAACACACAGCAGCAGATGTCATACAGGGAGCAAGTCATCCACAAGCAGCTGACGCGCATCCTCGGCGTGCCCGACCTCGTCTTCCTGCTCTTCAGCTTCATCTCCACGGCCAACAACTCCACCCACGCTCTGGAGTACGTCCTCTTCAGGCCGAACCGAAGGTAAAGACAGACAGAAACAGCATGCTGATTAACACTGATGACTTTGAAAATGTCTGTAGCAATGTATTTTTTTTTTAAGCACTGTTAGAAGTTTCTAGAATTTTTTTTTAAACTGACTCTCCATGTAGTTAGAGAGTACTTTCTTGGTCACCTATTTCTGTAAATTAAAGTTATTTTTGATCAAGCAACATTAGCAAAGCATGTTTATTACACATAATTTCTTAAGAACAAATGGCTAGAAATTGTCATTTATTTCTTGGTAACCTATTGTGTAGAAAGGCAGTTTTGTTACCGTGGAAGTCTGATTATAGTTTATGTTTATCTGTTTATTTTTGAAATAAGTAAACATTTTGTTGTTGGAAAGATAGATTTACAAAGAGGAGGAGAGGCAGACAGATCCCCCATTTGCTGGTTCACTCTCTAATGGCTGCAAAGGCCGGAGATGAGCTGAACTGAAGCCAGGAGCTGTGAACCTCGTCAGAGTCTCAATGAGGGTACAAGGTCCCAAGACTTTGAACTGTCCACAAGCAGGGAGCTGGATGGGGAGTGGAGCAGCCAGGACACGAACCGGTGCCCTTATGGGATCCCTGTGCTTAGCAAGTTAATTGAGCGATTGCACCAGGCAAGCTTCCCTCCATGTAGATGTGTCCTTAGCACGTAAAGCGTGCTCATCCCCGTCTGGCTGTGTGCAGCAGGACACCTCCCTGCTGGCGCTCACAGCGCGTGTCTGGTCGGAAAGGCTGAGTTCTGCACCTTTGGGTTGCCTGTGGCGGCTTGTGTTCATGTGTTATCGTTGCTGACAGAGACGTGTTGCTGGGCCCCGCTCCCAGAGCTGGGGATGCCGCTGACACCTCTGCTTCGCTGTGCCCTCACAGGTACAATCAGAGGATATCACTTGCTATTCCAAATCTGGGCAATACCAGCCAGCAAGAATACAAGGTGTCCTCAGTGCCAAACACTTCTCAGAGTTACGCCAAAGTTATTAAAGAGCATGGGTAAGTTGGAGGAGAAAATGAGAATGTTTTCCTTCTTTGCCAACAGCTTTTCCTCTGTTGGTACAAGTAGAAGCTGTATTGACTTGGTGTGTTAATGTCTTAATCCTTTTGAGAGATGTGTGCTTTGTTGATGGTGCATTTGTAAGATCCACACTGCTCTGACCTCCTCTGCTCGGCGTCTGCGTCGCTGGCAGTGCAAAGTGCGAAGACGCTGCCTTCTTTGTTAGTAAGATACTGACTTGCAACACTCTCCTTTGTGTTTCCTTTTTTCCTTTGGTAGTTAGACATTCTGAGGAAAAGGAAGAATATTTTAGGGAGGGGGACAGATCAAGGAACTCCTGAGTACAGAGCTGAAGTGATTTTGTGTGACACACATCTGTCACCTTTGGCCAGAGTACATGAGTGTGAGCATGTGTGTGTGTGTGTGTGTTTATGCCAACCAACCAAAGAGGGTAGATTCTAGAAGAATCTGACTCTGCAGAACAGGTGAGTTGGTTCCTAATGTGGCTTCCACCTGATGGCGCTGCTGAGCTGGGACGTAAGGAGACCAGGCGCTGTGGGCTTCTGTGTGCGGATGCTTCCAGACTGCTCAGTGTGAGATTTCATCCAGGTTCCGGGCTTTTCTTCAATGCTTCTGGCTTTGCATTTTCTCTTTCTAAGTACGGAATTTGGGGTGAGGAGGCTGCTGTGTTTCTGTTTGAGGACTGACTTAGTATAGATGCTCGTATAGCCCCACTCTTAAGCCTTCAATGCCATCTACTATTTCTTTCTTTACTTTCTGGATTTATAAAAGCCCTCAAACTGCATAGGAAATGAGCCTTTAGAACATGTGTAAAGCTGACCCAACAATGAGTTTGAAAGGTGTGTTAAGAAGTGAAGATGCGGGCCCGGCACGGTGGCTCAATGGGCTAATCTTCCTTCTTGAGGTGCTGGGATCACATATGGGTGCCAGTTTGTGTCCCAGCATTCTCCTCCAGCTCCCTGCTTGTGGCCTGGGAATGCAGCAGAGGATGATCCAAAGCCTTGGGACCCTGCACCCACATAGGAGATCAGGAGGAAGTTCCTGGTTCCTGGCTTTGGATCATCTCAGTTCTAGCTATTACAGCTATTTAGGGAGTGAGTCAGCAGATGGAAGATCTGTTTCTCTGTGTCTCCTTCTCTCTGTAAATCTACCTTTCTTTTTTTTTTTAAAGATTTATTTTTATTATTTTTTCATTGGAAAGGCGGATATACAGAGAGGAGAGACAGAGAGGAAGATCTTCCGTCCGATGATTCACTCCCCAAGTGAGCGCAACGGGCCGATACTATGCCGATCCGAAGCCAGGAGCCTCTTGCGGGTCTCCCACGCGGGTGCAGGGTCCCAAAGCTTTGGGCCGTCCTCGACTGCTTTCCCAGGCCACAGGCAGGGAGCTGGAAGGGAAGCGGGGCTGCCGGGATTAGAACCGGCGCCCATATGGGATCCCGGGCGTGAAAGGCGAGGACCTTTAACCACTTGCGCCACCGCGCCGGGCCCTAAATCTACCTTTCTAATTAAGAAGAAAATATATGAAATGAAGTGGCTATAGAGCTTAATGCAAAATTTTTAAAAAGATTTATTTATTTTTATTGGAAAGTCAGCTATACAGAGGAGGAGAGACAGAGAGGAAGATCTTCCGTCTGTTCATTCACTCCCTAAGTGGCTGCAACAGCCAGACCTGCGCCAGTCCGAAGCCAGAAGCCTGGAATCTCCCACATGGGTACAGGGTCCCAAGGCTTTGGGCCGTCCTTGACTGCTTTCCTAGGCCACAAGCAGGGAGCTGGTTGGGAAGTAGGGCTGCTGGAATTAGAACCAGCGCCCATATGGGATTCCGGTGCATACAAGGCCAGGACTTGAGCCGCTAGCCATCGTGTCAGGCCCAATGTAAGTATTTAAGATTTGTTTATATTAGAAAGGCAGATTTAGGGAGAGAAGGTGAGACAGAGGGAAAGATTTCCCAGCCGCTGATTCACTGCCCAAATGGCTGCAGCAGTCAGAGCTGAGTCAATTCAAAGCCTGGAACCAAGGGCCATGAGCTGCATGTGAGAACAGGGGTCCCGGGGGCTTGGGCCATCCTCCACCATTTTCCCAGGTAATAAACAGGGGCTTGATCAGAAGTGGAGCAATCGGGACCTGAACTGGCACCCATACAGGATACTGGTGCTTGAAGGTGGAGGTTTAGCCCGTTGATCCTTGGCGCTGGCCCCCAGTATAGTTACCAAACAGGAAGTCCGTCTCCCTGGAAATCCTCTGAAGCTTTTATCCTGGCCCTTTCTTGCCTCTTGAGTTTCTCAGACAGTGCTAGAGGGATTGAAGGCAGCAGGAACAGTCAGGGCTGACCAGTCATAGAGGTGTGGTCGTGCTTACTTGTACAGTTGCTTCCCCATTTCAAAAAGAAATGTTATAAAATGTGCTTGTCTGTAGAACTAAATAATGTTAAAATTGAGTGAAAAGTTGATTGCTGAAAAACAAATCGTATAGGTGAATGTGAAGTCATGCGGGCTTTGTGGCATGGCACAGCCTGTGCTGCCAGCGTCCCACGTTGCAGTGCAGTTGGAGTCCCACTGTGCAGCTGGCAGCATGGTAGAAGGTGGCCCGAGGACGCAGGCCCAGCCATGGCAGGCGTTTGGGCAGACCTTTCTCTGCAGGTTACCGCCCCCCACACTCTGCCTTTATGTAAGTGGAACAGATCTTTAAGAAGACAAAGAATAACAAAATATTGTTTCCATTTACCTTTAAAATTTTTGAAAAGATTTATTTATTTATTTGAAAGGCGAAGTGACAGCGAAGGAGAGAGAGAAAGCTCTTCTGTCCACTGGGTCACTCCCCAAATGGCCACAGTAGTTTGGGCCAGGCTGAAGCCACAAGCCAGCAGTCATGCTGGTTTCCCGTGCAGGTGATCATCTTCCCTGGCCTCCCCAGGCGCATTAGCAGGAAGCCGGAATGAAGGCAAAGCAGCAAGGATTCAAGCCGGAGCTCCGATTAAGGACGCCAGGGATACAGGCTTTTCTGGCTGTGCCACAGTGCTTGCCCCTGCTGTTACAAGTATTTGCTGCAACTTGTTTTTTCATTAATTAGTAAAGTATTTATTTTGAGGCAGTAAAATCAGTATAGTTACTTATGAATGTGTAACTTTTGTTATTTTTTAAGGTATCTTGGACACAGGAGTTCATTTCTCTCCTGCAGTCGCAGCTGTGGGCCTTGTTGTGTGAACATTGAGTCACAGCATTTCAGTGATAGCTTAGGGCAGAGGTCATAAGGAAACGCCTCCAGGCGCATAGCAGTCCTGATAACTTTGTGGGTCCTTTTGCCTCCTGTGTTCCAGCACTGACTTCTTTGACAAAGACGGAGTCATGAAGGACATCAGAGCCATTTACCAGGTGTACAACGCGCTGCAGGAGAAAGTGCAGGTAACGACGGTGCCGCTCTCCGTTCACTCACGTCCGCTGAAAGCTTTCACTTCTACTTTAATTTTTAATCATCTTCCACCTTCCCATTGTGATTCATAAGTCAAAATGTGCTTTCCAAAAATAGCATCAGGTCTGTGGAGCCGTCGCCCATGCCAGCCTCATCCGTTATTGCCTGGGTAGAGACTCTGAAGGTCATTATTATTAATATTACTGTTTTAAGTCCTGTGACCCATTTGTAATAGTTTTCTTTTTTAGGAAAATTTATTCTGAGTTTAAAAAAGGGTTGCTAAGAACACAGCCATTTTCATCACTTACATATTTTTTAAATGATGTACTTATTGGGCCCACCATAATGGCTCCGTGGCTAAGTCCTTGAAGGGTGTTGAACTATGTCCTGGAGGACAAGAAAGAATGTGGTGAAGTGGAGAAGCTCTCCCAGGCCTGACTTTAAGGAAGAAGGCTACATGAAGACTAGAGGCAACCCTTGAGGGCAGTGTGCAGAGCAGGCTCAGCCACAGGCAGAGGGAGAAGGCTCCTAGCAGTGTTGGGCCACTGTTACCCCAGCAGGACGGGCACTTCACGCCGGCGCACCAGTGTCCAGCCTGCTCTGTGGAAGGTTCTGGCATTTCTACTATGGAAGGAACATGTGGCGGAGAACAGCTTTTTGTCTTGAATTCATTGCCATGCCCTTTGCAGGCTGTCAGCACTGGCCAGAGGTCTTTAAAATGTTGATTGAAATGAGCCTGCCCTGTGAACAGCACCAGTGCATGGAGTGGTGTGGTTATTCTTGGCTAAATCATGTAGATGCAGCCACAAATAGTTACCTTTTGCTAAACCTTGACTTTGAAACTTTGTTTTTCAATTTTCCCTCATTATAAATATTTTCTGTTCAATAAATGTATTTTATCTGGTTTTTGTTGATTATAAATGAAAGTTGAAAGCATTTGTTCCTGTCTTTTGTTCTTCCTTTGAAAGACTAGAATCAAAGATTCCCTTTTCATTTCAATCAAGATGAATCAAGGGGAAAGATTCCATTTTCCATCTTTCATTTTTCAAGGGTTTCTCAGCACACCAGCACCAGCATCCTGACTCCACAGGCGAATTGGTGAATAATGGTGGCAGGACCCTCGGCCTCCTGACTCTGCCTGCCTTGCACGTGTGCTTTGTGGCTCTGCGAGCCGTGCGGGCTTCTCTGGGGCTCTGCTCACCGAGCGCCCGTGCTCACCTTTGTCGCTGTCCCCCAGGCAGTGTGTGCTGACGTGGAGAAGAGCGAGCGGGTCGTGGAATCCTGTCAGGCAGAAGTGAACAAATTAAGAAGACAGATCGCACAGAGGAAAACTGAAAAGGAACAGGAGAGAAGTAAGTAGGCTGACGCCATTGCAGTCCTGTGTCAGGACGTGTGCACAGGTGGGCATCCGATCACACGTCACCTGGTGCGACCCTCACCTCTGCCGGCACAGAGAGAGGAAGGGAGAGGGAGGGAGAGAGAGGGAGAGAGAGGGAGAAAGACACGGAGGCAGGATGCATTTCAGTTTCTCTCTTGAGTCCCTGAAACCAGAAGACTGAAAGTAGAAAGGCTGAAGCCAAGATTCACCCAGAAGTGCTTGGTGCAGGGGTGTGTGTGTGTGTGTCTGTGTGCGTGTGTCTGCCATCGTGACCTCTGTACAACAGTGCTGATGGTGACTACCGAGACAGCTTTGTCTTCCCAGCCTCTGCGGACTGTGTTAGAATCCCTTCAAAGAGCGATCACAGATTCTGTTACCTTCGTGTGTGTGCTGTTCATCCCAGGTCGTAACACAATCTTTAGTGTGTGGGTTTTTGCTAGCTATGGATACCAGTAAATTAAGGAATTGCTGGTGGAATAAAAACTAGGCCAAAGAGCTTAATAATTCCAGCAAGACAACAGACACATTTGCTTTAATACCCAACATGGAACATTTGTACAAAAATGTGCAAAATATATGGCAAATACTGCTAAGGTAGCTGGTTCTGTGGCATAGCAGTAAATATGCTGCCTGCAGTGCTGGCAACCCATATGGTACCAGCTCAAGACCAGCTGCTTCACTTCCTGTCCAGTCTGCTAAAGTGCCTTGGAGATCAGAAGCTCCTGGTGCTAGCTGCCCCAGCCCTGGCTGTCATGGCCATTACAGGTATGGCCCAGTGAATGGAACCCCTCTTTCACTCTCTCCCTCCTGTCTCTCTGTCACTCTGCCTAAGGTATTTTTAAGATAATATCAAGTTTATAAGAGGCGAGTGTCTGTGTAGCACATAAAGCCATCACCTGCATTGGAGGAGTGCTTGTGCCCTGCCACCCCATGGGAGACCAACGGAAGCTCCTGGCTCTTGGTTTTGGCTTAGCCTAGGCCTGGCTGTGTGACCCCCTTGGGTGAACTAGCAGACAGAAGGCCTTTCTGTCTCTGTCCCTCCCTCCCTCTTTATAACTCTAACTTTCAAATAAATAAACAAATCTTTTGAAAAAGGGAGATACGTTTTATAATCCAATCAAGATATGGTTTTTGGGCCTGGCGGCATGGCCTAGTGGCTAAAGTCCTTGCCCTAAACACGCTGGGATCCCATATGGGTGCCGGATCTAATCCTGGCAGCTCCACTTCCCATCCAGCTCCCTGCTTGTGGCCTGGGAACGCATTCGAGGACGGCCCAAAGTCTTGGGACACTGCACTCACGTGGGAGACCTGGAAGATATGGTTTGTGTCATGAGCATTAAGTCTGATTGATTTTTACTGTTGTATTTTTCTAGAAATAATATATGTACAACTATAATTGTCAGTTTACAGTTATAATAAAAATATGTGTCATGGGCCCTGCGCAGTAGCCTAGTAGCTAAAGTCCTCATCTTGCATGCACCAGGATCCTATATGGGTGCTGGTTCATACCCCAGAGGCCCCACTTCCCGTCCAGTTTCCTGCTTGTGGCCTGGGACAGGATGGCCCAGAGCCTTGGGACCCTGCACCAGTGTAGGAGACCCGAAAGAGGCTCCTGGCTCCTGGCTTCGGATTTGCTTAGCACCAGCTGTCGTGGCCACTCGGGAAGTGAATCAACAGACAAAAGATCTTCTCTGCCTCTCTTCTTCTCTGTGTATCTGACTTTGCAATAAAAATAAATCTTTTTAAAAATGTGTCACATATATAATGGAGTATACAGCTATTGAAGTGAATTTGGTCTCCAGGACTCTACTACTGGAACTGTCACCATGTCTCTGGGGAACGCACCGGCAGAGTGGGCCACGAGCCCCGGCCCTCCAGCGCGGGCTTAGGCAGCAACGGCAGCGTCCCACCCTGTAGGGCAAATGCCCGTGCCTGACGTGGGGCTCTGGGAGTTGGGGGCAGGGGTAACTGTAGTGATGGAGGCTGCGAGGTTACCCAGGAAAGGGAGATACGGAGTTCTTCAGTGTTTCCTTTGATCCTCAGGCTTTAAAAAAACAAAAATTTTAATTTGTTTGAAAGGCAGAGTTATAGAGAGAAGGAAAGACAGATTTTCCACCCTGTGGTTCACTCCCCAAATGGCTGCATCAGCCAAAGCAGGGCCAGGCCGAGACCAGGAGCCAGGAGCTGCTTCTGCCGGCACTTGGGCCCTTCTGCTGCTTTCCCAGGCCACTAGCAGGGAGCTGGGCCCGAAGCAGGGCAGCCCCGGCCACGGCCCTGCAGGCTTTGGGTGCAGGGAGTGAGGTGGGACGCACACGGGCCCCCAGGGATGCGGTGCATTTCTGACCAGCTCTCCACAGCCCTTCTGGTCAGATCGCTCGTCCTGGCTCTGGTTCCTTGGCCTGTGATGGAAGTAGAAACGCGAACGCTGCTAATACTTCAGAAGGATGCTTTGAGGCTTAATAATTCTCGGGAAGATTTTGTAAATGGTATGGTACTATGAAGTCGTGAGACAGTTAGCAGGAGTGCCAATATAAGTATTTCACTGCCTTGTTGCCGTTTTCCAGAATGTTCGGTGACCGCAGAGTGTGCTGAGGTGAAAAGCCGCAGCAACAGGGTTTCAGTTGTTCTGTTTTCCCCCAGGACTGCAGCAGGCGGCGCTGTTGGGCAGACGAGCGCCGGCCGAGAGCCGGGACGCCGGGCTCAGTCCGCGGGCGCACTGCGCAGGGGGCAGCACGCTGGACGCCGACGCCTCCGAGCCGCCGCCCCCGTACTCCGACCTGCACCCCAACCATCAAGACAGCGCGCTGAGCCACTCTCGCGCCGAGAGGAGTGTCCTTATGCCTCGACCTCAGGCCGTGGGCTCTTCCAGCTACGCCTCCACCAGTGCCGGACTCAGGTACCCCCCTGCTCCCCACAGAGCGGAGGGCGACAGCGCGGAGGAGTCGGACGACAGCGACTATGAGAACCTGGTCGACCCCGCAGAGCCCGCCAGGAGCCAGTGCTCCCAGCCAGAGGCTGCGCAGCCCGGGACTCGCGCCAGTGAGGACCCCAGGAACACTCAGACCGCCCAGATCTGAGCGGCAGCCTGTTGCTGCTGTGAGGACTGAGCCTGGGGGAGCTGCCCTCGCAGGCGCTGACTCGGAGCGGAGACCTGGAGCCAGAAGCCCAGGCGCCACCCCAGCCTCGCCCTGGCCTCGCCCTCGGATGCGGGGTGCGGGTGGCACAACAGAATCATCATGATAATCCAATTGTCCTAATTCTGGTGCGACTCATGGATGTCCTGGTAAAAGTAGGCAAAGCAAAACTTGTCAGCCAAGTTTCTGTTCTTGAAAATAAATTGGAAGCTAGAGACTAAGCACAATTAGTCTATAAATGTTCTATAAATCAAGAACTTACCTCTTGCACTATCATGCCTTGAAATTTACTTTCTCAAAGGGAAATGAGTTTAGCAGCAGCATTCAAAGAACTTCTCTCTGTGAAGAGCCAAATTCATCTTTGCCAGAAGAGACACTTCTCCACGCAGCCTGGTTGGAACAATCCGATGCCCTTCTCTCATCTGCATGACTGTGAGACTGGCAGCGAGGGCTTTGTCTCAACTTTTTCTACTCGCCTGATGCATATTGTCACTTAAAATGGTTGCCTTTAAGACAGATGTAGAAATACTAATTACCAAGAAGTAACCATCCAAATAAGTATGTCAGAAAACGAGTCAGTTCCTTTTCTCTTGGTGGATTTGGCTCCTGTGCCAGCTGTGCCAGCCGTGCCACGCCGGCACACTTGCAGATGCCGTTGCAAGAATGCACAGACAGGTGTGGCTGGGGGAGCCAATGCCAGTCCTCCCACCGGAAGCAGGTCCCAGACGCTCCTTTAGGTGTCCTGACAAATCCTAGTGGGAGCTTCATCTGTGCAGGAGAGACGTCACGCACGTTGTGTGGGAGTCGTGGTGAATAAAGATTCATTTGCAATCTGAAGAACCATACCTTTTTTTTGTCCCATGGGGAATCACTGCAGAATGTGTAGGGTCTATTGGGATGCCCCTAGACTTTTTTATTTAATCACTGCTTGTTTTCTGGGTTGGCTCAGAGGGACATGAGCATGTGGGGCTTCTGGTGTGGAAGTGGCTAGGACAGGGTCAGCCGAGACGCTGGTCCTCCGGCTTTACCTGCCCCTGGACCAGTTAAAACCTCAGAGTGAGGAAGTTGTCAGGCTGCAAATCGGGTTCCGAAAAGATTGGTTTACTTTCTAGGCTGAAGGTTTGCTCACTGAGCTCCCCTTCCAGCTAAATTACACAGTATAATATGGACTGAGAAATGAAATGCTAAAACTGCCGTTCTTGGGTGTCCACTGCTGGGGCAGTGTCATGCGCTGTCCTGGTGTTGCTGGCCTGACACTGCCGTTTGATTGGAACCATTGCAGACCCCTGTGTCTGCAGCTGTGTTCCAGTTATTATCAGCTCCCTTCTAGAAGCTTCAGCACCACTACGGATTTCATTTTTTTTTAAAGTGCCATTGCCATCTCCTCTGTTCAGATTTTTGACATTCAGGAAAGTATTTTTATTTTTATGCCACACCGAAATCAACAGTGTATATCTGACAAAGCAGTTAAATGTGACAATAAAAACTTATTTAATCATGATGCCATTGTTTGAATGTGCGGGTCAGCACCTGCTTGGGTGTGCGCTCACTGTCCTGCCTCCAGCGCTCCGCAGTGGGAGCGCAGCTTAGTTGGGAAGCGGGCTTGGAGGCCTCCCCTGCATACACACTTCTGCTCAGGCTGAGCTCAGGACAAGGCCAAGGACACTTCGCTGGTTGAAGGTCACTACTAATTTCCTGGGGGGGGGGGGGTTTCCCAAAAGAACTCGGTGTGAGTGGAGCATAAAATTGGATCTTAGGAAGTTCCACGAAAGACACCTTTTACAGGACAACTGGAATTTGCCTGAAGTGGCACCTGCCAGGGTTTCAACAGCCGAGCTCCTGTGTAGGGCATCTCCAGTGAGGCTGTCCTGGCTCTGATGTCCCCGAGTCGCGGCAGTCATGCCAGCTGAACACTTTCTCTCCCCTGGTCTAGGATACCTGGTTGAAGCAGGATTTCAGTCTCCAGTTACTTGGAGGAAACAGGCCTGGATTCTTTCAACTTGGAAATAGGCTGCTGGAAACACCTCATTACATGTTGGAATCGTGTTTTCTGGAACAGGATGCGGATGTCACGTGGACGTTTGTCCCCAGGTAGGATTTATATTTTTACATTTCAGATGCAATACGACAGTGACAATAACTTCTTCAATAGGACTGTTTACTTATTTATTTTTATTAGCATGATATACAGAAAGGTGGAGAGACAGAGAGAAAACTATCCCGTCCGCTGATTTACTCCTCAAGTGGCCACAACGGCCAGAGCTGAGCCGATCTGATGCCAGGAGCCCGGAGCCTCTTTGGGTCTCCCACATGGGTGCAGGGTCTCAAGGCTTTGGCCCATCCTCAACTGCTTTCCCAGGTCACAGGCAGGGGGCTGGATGGGAAATGGAGCTGCTGGGATTAGAACCGGTGCCATATGGGATCCTGGCATATGCAAAGCAGTTTAGCCACTAGGCTACCCTGCCGGGCCTCCATGGAACTATTTAGATGACTGTCCAGTGAACCCATCATTTTGAAGGGACAGACAGAATGTAAAATAAAAATACAATAGAAAAAAGCAACGGTGATTAGCTGTGCTCTCGATTGGGTGGACAAGAAGGTTTCGTTTTGGTTACAAGATCTTGAGTCTTTCCCAAGGTTCTGCCTCAGCCTTTCCCACAACCAGCTGGTTCTGCCAAGCAGGATGCCTAAGGGCAAATGCTTCGACAGATGTGCTAATAAATAATAGAGAAAATGTTTACTTTCCAATCTTATGACAATTTTGAAAACATGCTGGAATTTAGCTTACCTGTCTCACTTTTTTGCTGCGTTCCAGATAAGGCAAGTGTTAACTTTTGAGTATATTCCAACAGGCTTCTTCCGGGGTTAACCGGAACCCCTGGAGACACATCCCTGTGTTCTCGGACTTTCCTTCCTCAGCATCTGCACAGCACACTTCAGTGGTCGGTACCGACTCCAGTTTTCCCAGTGCTGGCCGTACACAGGCCGCCCTCGGGCCTGAGCCCCGCGCTCCCGCTTTCCAGATGTACAGCTTGTGTCGTCAGCCTTGTCGAAGCTGCGGACTTCCCTGAAGTCCCGATTTTCTTGTAAATTGAAAAACGGTTTATTTTTCTAATAAATCTGGAGCCAATTCAACTTCTCTTAGTTCAGAATCCATTTCCTAAATTTCCAAGAAACACTTAAATGCCATTAGAGATTAAAGGTGATTCAAAATGGGAGAAATTATTGATGATGTTTTATTAAAGCAGAGTGCTTCTGACAACATGGGTTTTTAGTCTTGAAATACAAATCAGATAGAAGATTCAGCATTGTGACATGAAGCTACCTCCTGCGATCCTGGCATTCCATGGGAACACTGGTTTAAGTCCCAGCTGCTCCACTTCTGATGCAACTCCTTACTGATATGCTTGAGAAAACAGTAGAGAATGGTTCAAGTGCTTGGTCCCTGCCCCCACGTGGGAGACGCAGAAGCAGCCCTGGCTCCTGGCTCCAGACCCACCCAGCTCTGGATGCTCTAGCCATTTGGGAAGTGGACAGAAGATCTGTCTCTCTCGCTCTCTAATTACTTTTCAAATAAATAAGTAACTATCATATATATACAAATGAATGAACCTGAGCTTGTAGGAATTTTGAAAGATTCATGCATGGTGTTCAGAGGTGGTTATTTTTTTTTTTTAAGATTTATTTTATTTTTATTGGAAAGTCAGATGTACAGAGAGGAGGAGAGATAGGAAGATCTTCCATCTGTTTATATCACTGCTCAAAGGGCCGCAACAGCTAGAGCTGCGCCGATCTGAAGAAGCTTCTGGGTCTCCCACACGGGTGCAGGGTCCCAAGGCTTTGAGACGTCCTTGACTGCTTTCCCAGGCCAGAAGCAGGGAGCTGGATGGGAAGTGGGCCTGCAGGGATTAGAATCAGCACCCATATGCGTGCAAGGCAAGGACGTTAGAGCTAGGCTATTGCGCTGGCCCCTGGTGGTTATTGTAAGTACTCTGCACAATTCGTGTATGATGTTCACTGGTGGCTATTCTTTAGTATGGTGCATTCCTGCTGGGGTGCCTTAGACTGTATTTAGTATTTGTGGGTATGGGCCCTGTCATCCAATCTACATACATATCCAAGCAAAGACAGGTTTGCTGTAGCTGGTGAATTGTAGGCTCTGCTTGATAGAATTGGGGTCACGGGCTCTTGACTAATGAGAATCAAATGCAGTCTGACTGTGCTAGAATTGGGAGCCTGCAGAAAACCTCTCCCACAGTATCAGGGTGTGTGTGTTGGGGGTGGTGGCAGTAAACAAACTCTGGAAATAGCACAGGGCAGGTCCCTGGCGCACATGAAACGGGAAGGGAAGAACTGGAAACGGTGCAACTCGACTCCTCGGGAAGGTCTCCCACTTCTCAGCCTGTCGCAAGCCTGCCCGTGCTTTAAGACCCAGCTCGAGTGTCAGCTCCTGCAGAAAACCTTTCTGAGCCCCTGGAAGGATTGTGCAACCTGAGCAGTTGACTCCAGCCTCCCCCAGAGCCTGCACACACACTGCGCAGGGCAGCACTGGCCCTCGGCACAGCCCGCCCAGGACACCACAGGCTTCACGGATCTGCTGCTGCTGGAAGAGTATTCACTAAAGCTTCTCCTTGAGCGTAGAAACATTTCTTAAAAAAAAAAAATATATATATATATATACACATACATATACATGACCAAGTTACAGAGAGAGAGACGCCTTCCGTCTTCTGGTTCCAAGAGCCAGGAGCTCTGTCAGGGTCTCCCATGTGACTGCAGGGGCCCAAACACGGGTCACCTTTCGCTGCTTTTCCCAAGTGGTTGAATCAGAAGTGGAGCAGCTACACATAAACTGCTACCATTGTGGTATCAGAGCTGTCAGCCTTATGTACTGTATTATAATGGCAACCTCCAAAACACTGATTTTTACCAAATGTTTACTCGTCTCTGATCAGTTCTAGAAAAGATAAGGATGGGCATTTAGCCTAGGTAAGTGACCCACGTCCCTTGTTGCCCTGCCTGGCGTCAGCTCCTGGCTCTGGCTCCGGTACCTGCTGTGGAGACCCTGGCAGGCAGCAGTGGTGACTGAAGCGGCGGTTCCTGAATCCGAATTCCGGGTTCCCGGTTCAGCCTGGTCCAGCCCAGTTGTGGCAGGCATGTGGGGAGTGGATTGGCAGAAAGCAGAGGTCGATCTCTGTCTTTCTAAAAAAGTAGCTCTCTGCCTTTAAAATAAAAATGAATAAATGGGCAGGCATGCTGCTGCTGCTCAGCCACCATGTTGGGATGCCTGGTCTGGCCTCAGCTACTGCAGCTGCTTTGATCACTACTGATGGGCCTGGTGCCGTAGCCTAGCGGCTGAAGTCCTCACCTTGAACGTGCCAGGATTCCATATGGGCGCTGGTTCTAATCCCGGCAGGTCCACTTCCCATCTAGCTCCCTGCTTGTGGCCTGGGAAAGCAATCTAGGACGGCGCAAAGCCTTGGGACCCAGAAAAAGTTCCTGGATCCTGGCTTTGGATCGGCATAGCACCGGCCGTTGTGCTCACTCGGGGAGTGAATCATCAGATGGAAGATCTTTGTCTCTCCTCCTCTCTGTGTATCTGACTTTGTAATAAAAATAAAATAAATCTTAAAAAAAAAAAAGATCACCACTGATGTGCCTGGATGGCAGCGGAAGGCCCCAAAGTGCTTGTGCCTCTGTCACCAACATGGGAGACCTGGGGGCAGTTTCTGACTCCTGGCTCACGTTGGCATGGCCTCAGCTGGTACGGGAGATGGAGGACTGAACCTGTGGGTGGAAGATTGCTCTGTGTTTCCTCCTTTTTGTCACTGTATCTTTCCCATAAATCCTCTTTTTTTTTTTTCAATCAGTAAGAGATTTGAAATTATAGACCTGTTTGCACAGTGTAGGCCTAGCAGAATGATTCATGGAAGGAGTGACACCTGGCAAGGTGTGGATGCCAGGAGAGGAGTTTGCCAGACCCCAAGGGGAGACTGGAGGTGTGGGGGAGGTGAGCACATGTCAGCTGGGGGTAAGCAGCTCTTTATTGCTGCTGTGTTTTTCAGGAGCACACAGCAAGCTGTGGGGAAAGCCTAGGCTCCCTGCCTCACAGCCCAGCCTGCCAGCCCTTGGCACTCCCCGCCAGCGCCGCTCAGGACGAACTGACACCAGCCCGACCCAGAGTCCTCAGCTGGACTCACTCTTGGTAGTACATCCCCTGAGGATAGTGGATTTTTCTTTTACTTATAATAAATAAGTAATGTTTAGCAAAAGCAACTAATAGGGGATTGCAAGTTCCTATGCAACAGGAAGCACAGAGGAACTATTCCAGGCTATTAGGGTTGAGCAGCCCGGCAGCTGCTGGGAAGTGACCGAAGGGGGATCTCAGGTCTTTCTAGTGCAAAATGACATCGCCCTGCCTGGATGATCCATGGTGTGTTTATTCACGGTGACCTGTAGTTATGTGGCTGAACGTGAAGGGTCTCAAAGTTACCTCTGTGT